TATCCCTTTGTTTTCCTCTTAACAGTGATGTTTTTCTACAATAAGACAAAGAAACACAGCCACTTTACAACACTATAGTCTGTATATAAAAGTTGTATGTAGCCACCATGACATCGACTTTTTCTTATTATTTTCTGGACTCTGGACAATTTGAAGTTTCAACAGGTGAAATGGTTAAGTGTTAAGCTATCAGATAACTAGTAAGCTTGTTAAACAAGATCTATAAGGTATATGGGTTCATCACATGGAAGCAGATTCCTTTTAATTTAATTTAATTTACTAGAATTCTACACAACAAAACTGGAGCATAAACTTCTGCAAGCAGAGGTGAGACCCAGGCAATGCATACCTGTCAATCAAAGCACCCACACCCTACATTTAAGGCTTAATAAAACCCAAAATGGTTAGTTTTTTTTTTTTTAAGTTGATCCACCATACAGCTTTTGAAGAGAACAGAAGCCTAAATCACATACTAGGACTTTGTATGCCTTAAAAATAAAGTAAATAAATCATTTGACACCACAGACTTTAAAATAAATACAACACAACACAAAAAAGGCATGGAGCCACTGACTTTCACTACGTGTTAAATGTTACGGAGCACTACACTCAGGTGTAAAGCATCACATGGTCATGTATCACCTTTCACTCTCTGACAGATACACTGTCACTTTTCGTTGCTGGTAAACTGACCCAGCTGTTTCCCAGAGGACTGCCGTAACCATAGTAATATGCTGCATAATTTATCAACCTGAAAACATGGAGCAGGTAGGATGCTTTGCTGTGGCTGTGTGAGAAATGCATTTGTTTTCCTTTTGTATGTACAAGTTTGAATTGAGTGAACTGAAAATAAATGTAATTACAACCATGTGCTTTGCTTCAGGATTACATTGCTGGTCTTTACCAGTCTCTAGGTATGTCTGTTGGCGCAGAGTTTACCCCTGAGGATGCGAGTCTCCTTTACAGCAAAGTGTTTCATTTTTCTTCCAACATCACTGAAGCACGTACAGCTATGAGGAAGGTACCAGCTCACACATAATTAGACACAAACACAAACAAATAGTAACAGAATATTACGATGGGGCTGTTTGTGCTTCAGATTGCAGGAGGAGACAGTAGCTGGACCTGTATTGGTGAAAATGTTTTGGATGTTCTCTTAGAAATGGAAAGGGAAAGGGAAAAGAAGGAAATGGTACAATTTTTCTTCTTTAATATGATAATATCGTATCTTAACTCCTTAATCAAAATATTATTACTACTGCTCTTATAAATACTCTTATCTTCAGCTGTACTGGGACCTCCTGCTACTAAATACTGGAAATCCCAATGCTTTTCATCACATGATGGATTCCCTGCTCCAGAATACAGACTTTAATACTTTCGAAAAGGCATACACCTCAGATTTAGGATCCCTACAGCAGGTTGGTACAGGTATGTACTTGCAGAACTGTACACTTTCTCCTGCATTAATGCAGTTCATTATTTGCCCTCTTTTGCTTTCTGCAGATCGGAAGATGGGGAGGGGGGAAAGAGTTCTCTGGGGAAAAGACGTGCGTGAAAAGGCTCAAAAAAGCAGCCAGGCAGTACTGGGCTAGGTGAGCATCTTTTATTGATGGTGAGAAGTTGCTCAGTTTATAGCAAAATGTGTTATTTTAATATTGAATTTGTACATGTATTGATTTTTATTGTGTGTATATATGAACCACATAGTACACGGTTGTTAGACTTACAGCCACATCACCCAGATTACTGTGTTGCATGTGTGAAAAGCCAAAGATTAAAGAACCTAAAAGGAGCGACAAATCTGTGCATTATTCATTAATATTAAATTGTGGCTTGCATGTAGCACAACAAATTGCTGAAGCAAGTAGAAAACAACTCGGTGACTGTAGCTTAACTGGGTGTACTGATGTGAGCAACAATTGTATTGCCAGTTAACACAGCTTTTTACTAAGAAGGATGTTTTATCTTTCAGA